GACCCAGCCATGGCTGCAATGCCTAAAAATCAGATACAGTTTCAAGATATGTGGAAGAAGCTGGGAATAGGATTTAAGGAAGCAGGGAGAGTCCTAACCTCAGGCCTGAACCATTTGGACAAGGCATAGTTCTTCTCTAGGCTTCCCCCCCTCCCCCACCTTGGTAATAAGAGTGGGGAGGAGGGTGTTGATTACACCAAGTCCTCCAAACCTGAAATCCTGGCTGTTTGGGTATCTGTGAAAATAATATTGCAGTTTCTCAAGCTATGCTAAACACTTCAGGCCTAAGGGAAATCAGATAAATGTATGTAGCCCTGATAAGCCTGATCACACTAACCAAATGTCAAGTTCCTCCACTTACAAGGAATTATATTAACTCCAAGAAAAAAAAAAAAAAAAAAACCACCATTTGCTTAATACTGACTAGAGATTTGGATTGGCAGTTATCTTTCCAGAACAAAATAAATAAAAGTAACCTAAATCACCTTTATACTTAAAAGTGCTATTTCCCAGATGGGTTTTTTTTTTTTTTTCAAAGCACGTGACCCGTGGGTAAGAAGATAATAAAAAGGGCTGTTGGTGAAAGACTGAGATTATCAACGCACTAGAGGATTTCTGAAGCCCGTTCTTGGCTCGAACGCTCAGCGGATTACTGAAAGTTGCTCTAAAGCAATCAACTATAACAATTTATTTCACGTGTAATTTTACTCGGTGGCATCAAGGGGAAGGTGTCTTGCTCTAAAATTTCAAGGGGGAAAAAATAGAAAACCCAAAGGATGATTCTAAAATGTAAAAGCATATGAAGGGGGGATTTTAAAAGCTAAGAATGCCAGGACAGCAGACAAAAATAAATTTAAGTTTTTAAACAACAATAGCAACAAAAAAGGTCAACTGACCTGGAGTAGAAATGGTAATAGGGCTTAGCAATAACAATAGGCCCTGCCATTTATCTACATGTCAATGTGCAGTTACTATGTATTCCAGAGGGCTAAGAAGGGGGATGGGAAGGATGGCTGCCATTGCTCACCAGCCCCATCCATTTCAGGAATCACTGAGGGCTCAAGGTCCTTTAGAGGTCAGGGTCTGGAAAGTCAGCAATAAGTTTTCTCTTTTTAGAAGCCTCTCATTTTGTTGGGGTCAAGGAAGCCAGGAAACTGCTCTCAGTCCTGTGACACTGGCATGCAAGCTCATCCCAGCCCCTGGAAGCAGGGCAGATGGGAGCAGGGGCAGAAATGGAGAAGCGGGTGAAGAGAGCATTACATCCTTCCAAGAACACAGGGTGCTGGTGGAAAGAGGATCAATATTAATAATAAAACACACAGAAAGCACTTTGAAAACAAAGTACTAAATAAATGAGTTACCTCAGTTAGGCCTTATAACAAACTTGTACATTAGGTATTATTGTTATCCCATTTTACAAACCAACCAAATGAGCAGAAGAAAGGTTATTTATTCAAAGCTTGCTAAAGCAAAGAATCAGTCGCTATCCGCGTATTTGGAGGAGATTCAAAGGCAAGCAGAAAAGTGGGAAAGCTTTATGATGGACAAAAGGGGAGGCTCTGGGGTGGGGAGCTGAAGGTGGGTTAACTAGAAGAGGACATCCTATGTCATTGGTTAGGATGCATATGTGGCTTTTTCTGGTTGGTCCTAAGGGGGAAGTGAGGACAAAAATTAGGGAAGCTAAAAGGTAGTCATCAACCCCTGTCCATTTGGGGACTATTGTTACCAAGGTCATTGTTTGGCTTCCCTGGGTGGTAAGCAGAGACAGTAGTCAGAATTCCTGTAAGTCTGATTTAGGCAGACTTTCTGGGAAGGTTACTGTGTGTTAAAGGTTTGGTTTTCTGGACAAAGTTCTGTTTTTATATATGGCCTTGCCATTGATCATCTATACATTCAATCTCTTAATACTTAGGTATGAGTCTGTACACAATAAAGTTTTTCCAAATAATTAGCAACACTGACTCTCAGAGCCCTGGAGCGGGACAGGGTGTGACCTCTGCACTTCATCTGTACACCAAAATGCCTCGCAGAAATTATATATTCACCTATGAAATATACACATAGCCCAATAAAAGCACCAACCATTTCTTTCAAAAGTAAGATCAGTATATTGTATTTCCTGTTTACTGATTTGCTTTCACACTAATTAATAAGTTATAAGAAAAATGATTTAATAAACAAAAGGTAGATCAAAGTTTTCAAAATACAGATACATCAAAGGAAAAAGCCCTCAAGTCCTTTCAAGTACTTCTTGCTCTAAAACTCAAATATATTTCACTCCATAAACTGACCTCAAGGTTGCTGGCAGAACCAGAGCTCGAGTGGGTGAATCATGGGTCTGACAGAGTGGCAACACCATGTCTTAGAGGAGCACAGCTTGAATCCAGTGCCCCCTTCCTGTCTGTCTGGCCAAGCACTCCCCATGAGCTTAGATAAAAGTGCAACATTCATGGTCAGAATTTGAATGAATACAGCTCATTGTCAAGTATCCCTGCACTCACTGTCTCTGACTATTGGGATAAGATACTAAATGGCTATTGTGAAGAAATACAGACCTCATTGCTGGATAACTTTGAAGGGGGGAAAAAAAGAAAAGAAAAAGAAAAAACTAATTCTGTCTCTCTTCTAATAGATGGAAAGCATGACTCCAGTGTAGCTAAAGGTATCATAGACCTGGCTTAGGCCGACTCTCCTGTGCTGTCATACATCCTTAGGATAGAATGCTCCTGCCTTCTTTTCTCACTCCTACGGCCTCCATCCAGTACAATCCATTCAAGCCCAAAGACCCCCAACATAAATGCCAACTCTTGTGTAACACCTCCCCTCGTCAGGTTGCCTGGGCATAATCACTTGTCTTTTGTTTCCATGAGATTTTGAGAAGAATGGTAAAAAACACCTACACAGTGGCATTATAGCTATTTTTTTTATACAATGTTAATCTCCCTCACTATATCATGAGTTTCTTTTGTACAAGTCTGTGTCTTATTTACCTCTCCTTCCCCAGTGCCTGATATGTAACAAGGCATCTCGCTACCTATTCTTTCATTTCATGTTCAAAAGCCCAGTGAGAAAGTATGATTATTATAGTGGTATTGAGGAAATTGAGGTTCACATAGATCAATTACCTGTCCAAGGTCATAAAGCTGAGCACTGGGTCCCACATCTTAGCACTTGCACAGTTTTCATAGCATCCTTTCCCTCCAATAAGCTCTAAAAGCTGCTTCACTGAGGCAGAAAAGAAGACTCCACAGTGTTCCAGACTACCAGTACCTGTGTCTGAGCAGTTCACTTTGTGATGCTAACAGGCATGCTTGGAATTTGTTAACAACACCAGCCCTAGTGCTCACTACCTTTGGTCATATGCCATTCTCACTCTCTCTTTTCTTCCTTGTGAAGAATATATAAGTACAGCTTTTGTCAAGTTTGTTCAGTGATCATGTATTAATTTTTAATAAAGAAAAAAAAACATTGGCATCTATGTGGCAGCAAAGAAAACAGGATCACAAGCTGAGTAGGTATAAATTCTATGCCTGCAGCCTCCTCAGGACTCAAAGGGTAAGGAATTTCTGTGTTCAATCGTCAGTGTTTCTCATGGCTATGAATACGTTTCTCATTGTTGGTGGAACTGCAAACTGGTGCAGCCACTATGGAAAACAGTATGGAAATGCCTCAGAAAACTAAAAATAGAGCAACCCAGCAATTCCACTTCTTGGTATTTATCCAAAGAAAATGAAGCCACTAGTTTGAAAACATATATAGATACTTATATTCATTGCAGTATTACTAGTAATAGCCAAAATGTGAAAGTAACCTATGTGTCCATTGATAGATGAATGGATTGAATGGATAAATAAGATGTGTGTGTACATATATATATGCATGTATATATAATATACATATATTATATATGTAATATATACATATATATTAGAATATTACTCATTAATAAAAATAATGGAATCCTGCCATTTGCAACAACAAGGATGGATGTAGAGGATATTATGTTAAGTGAAATAAGTCATACAGAGACAGGAAAATACCACATGATTTCACTTATACATGGAATTTTTCTTAGAAAATCAAAACAAATGAACAAACAAAACAGACTCATAGAAATGAAGAACTGATAGTTGCCAGAGGGAAGGGGATAGAAGAATAAGTAAAAAAGGTGAAGGGAACAGAGTCAATAACAGTGTGATAACTTTGCATAAGGACAGATGGATACTAGACTTAGTGTGATGTTCACATGTTATAAGATATGTAAATGTTGAATCACTATGTTGTACACTTAAAACTTATCTAATATGATATGTCAGCTATACTTTAACCTAAAAAAGCAGCTCAAAAAATTATATTCTACTTATTAGGAAAAGGAAGCCCTGCTAGGAATAGTTATTTCAAAAATCTTTGCCTAGACTTGGCTGAAGTAAACCCTTTGTTCTGACCTTATTCCCTCTAAGCAACTTTCTGATTATCATTTGTTTTCTTCTGTAAATGTTCACTCAAGGAGAGGGGATATGATAAAAAAAAAAAAACTGAGTATTTTTTATTTGCAAGATACATACAGTCCTTATTATCAATGAACAAATTGGCATTCTGTTTTACGTACCAAAGAGAAAATAAAATATGCAAAAAGCAAAGTATCTGCTATTCTAGCAGATTTGCCTCTTAGGTCATGTCCCCTACTCTTTGTCTTCTGATGTCTCCTATCTCTCTCACCCAGCCCCTCTCTGTACTAGCACTTCTGTGCATTTTTTAGGAACCCCTGCCCGGTCCCAGCGCAGTATCATCAAAAAGTCCTCTATTGCCACATTGGCAAGTTCTGGCAGGAAAAAGAGAAGTCTTGCTTACATGTAATATTTTTTATAATCTTAATGAGAACTGTTTCTACTAACTCAGCTTCCCCGCTAAGCTGGATGTGGCTACAATTCCTTGATCTGCAAAGTTCTTAGGAAACACAACAAATTGTCTAAGGATATCACAAGGTGCCAGATACTCACATTTTCTGACCGGAGCCTCTTGGCAGGACACCCACCATCCCTAGGGTGAAGCATGTAGTACAGTCGAACTTTGCTTGCATGTTTTCGACTCTGGGAAGGAAAAGCAAAAGCGGATACTGAAAAGGAGAAGGCATTTTAAATCCTTGAAAACACAGCCAGTGACTGCAAATGCCATGAAGCACTTTTATTAGAAAACATTTTTGCATTGAAACCGTTTTGTCTCAATGGATAGAGCATCAGCCTGTGGACTGGAGGGTCCCAGGTTCGATTCTAGTCAAGGGCATGTACCATGGTTGTGGGCACATCCCCAGTAGGGGGTGTGCAGGGGGCAGCTGATCGATGATTCTCTCGCATCGATGTTTCTAACTCTCTATCCCTCTCTCTTCCTCTCTGTAAAAAAAAAAATCAATAAAGTATATTAAAAAAAGAAAGAAAGAAAGAAAGAAAGAAAGAAAGAAAGAAAGAAAGAAAGAAAGAAAGAAAAGAAGCACTTTTGCATGCGTCTGTGAGTTAAGTGGGATAAAGCTCAGATAGGTCAAGTGACCTGCCCAAGGTCATAAAGCCAAATTAATGTGAGGATTAGAAAACACACTTAATGATGAAAGGTAAGAGCTTTGGGATCTTTTTGCTTGGAATGGTTAATATATTTAATTGTCCTCAAAGTCAGAACAGGTTAATAGAAGGAATAATACAGGGCTCAACTATGATGAAGACCCAGGTTCTCTACTTTCTCACTCCTGTGCCCTGCCCTGAGGACTGGGAGCCATGCCCCTGGGAGTCAGGCACCACAGCAAACTCAAACAAAAGCCATCTCCTCAGTTTCCATACCTGAATCTCAATAACAAGCTATCACAAAGCTTCCCAATGTCAGATGTCATGAGCAAGCAAAAAATATCATCTGTTCATCTGAGGTCTGGTCACAGCTCTAGGTCCATGTCTGCAGCACACCCAGTGGACAAAGCAAGTCTCTCTTCCTGCAGGATTCGCAGACTATCGAGTTCTGCCTGCTGACAAGTCCACGCTCAGCCTGGAGAAGCTGACCCTTCTTTAGCCTCATCTTTCCTCTACTCTTTTATTCAACTGAGACTCCACTCCAAATCACCTCAATTTTAAAGAACATTACAGTTCTGACTTCCAAGTTGCTCACTGAGTCAGGAAGGTGGGGTTAAAAGAATAGTAATGAAACAGTCAAGACAGATCACATATACATTGTTGGTCCCATCTATATATATAAAAGCCAGCAACCATAATGCCCTAATGACAGAAAAACCAGTAGCTATGATGCCCACTGCAGCCAGAGAACCAGCCCAATCAGGGGGTGGGGCCAAGTGGCCAACCTCCTGCAGCCCCTCCCCCCAGCCAGCCCCACTCCCTATGGGCTCCCCACCAACCAAATTGGCTGGCAGCCCCTTCCCCCAGCCAACCCTGCCCCTGATTGCTGTCCCTATCCCAACTGGGGGTGGGCCTTACCAGCCAATGGCTCACAGCCACTCCCCACAGCTGGTCTGTTCCTGAACAGGGCCCTGATCACGGTGGATCAGTCAGCCAACCTTCAGCTGTCTCCTCCTCCTCACAGGCCTGGCCCTGATCCACTGAATTTGTGTACTGACTCTCTAGTAAGATTATAATGGTACTGAAAAACCCCTGTCACCCAATGACATCATAGCCATGCATTATCCCTGTGCTTGTGGCGATACTGCTATAAACAAACCTACTGCACTGCTAGTCTATAAAAGTATAGTAATACAATTATGCTACCGATTTATGTATTTACTATACCATGCTTTTTACTGTTAAGTTAGAATGTAATCTTTCCACATGTAAAAAAGTTCGCTGGAAAAGAGTATACTGTAATGCCAGCTGCAGCCTCATACATCTATGATTTGATGAATCTCTTGATTGCATCATTTTCTCTTGTGCTTCATTGAATCTTGTGCAGTTTTGTACTGTAACACACTGTACAGCTTGAAGTCCAAGAGCAATAGGCTATACCAAATAGCCTAGGTGTGTAGTAGGCTCTACCATCTAGGTTTGTGTAAGTGAACTCCATGACATTTGCACAACAATGGAATCACCTAAGGAAGCATTTCTCAGAATGTAGCCCATTGTTCAGCTGAGCATGACTGTTGTGGGAAGTTCAAAACCCCACTTCTGGCTCTACCACTTTCAAACTGCATGATGACAAACAAGGCACTTATTCTAATTTCTTTATAGCCAAAATGAGACTCATTGCCTCCATGTACAAAATGAGCATAATAATATTTCTTAGGGTTGCCATGAGAACCAAATAAGACAATGCATTGAAAAATTGCAGTCTACATAATGCTAAAGATTTTAACACTGATTGCACCAATCCCTACCTTTGGTTCTACCATAGTCTCTATAATATGATTTTTTCCTAATTTATTTTTATTGTTGAAAGTATTACTGATATCCCAACCCCTCTCCCCAATTGACTGCCTCCATCCCATCTGCCCTGTGTCTGTGTCCATGGGCTATGCATATATGCATATAAATTCTTTGGTTAATCTCTTCTCCCCTCCTCCTCCATTCCCTCTGAGATTCGTCAGTCTGTTCTATGCTTCTATATCTCTGGATCTATTTTGCTTATCAGTTTATTTTGTTCATTAGATTCTACTTATATGTGGAATCTATAATGTGAATTTGCCTTGAATTAATTTCTACCTAATTCTAATCCTCCATCCCCTTCTTTTATCAGATATTATTTCTGCATTTCCAGGCCTCAGCTCCACTTTGCCCTTCCTGACAGTTGAGTTCTAGCCAATCTGCTGGATGATGGTTTGTCTTCATTGATTAGTCACACAGCAAATTGCATCTTGTTTACAAGATATATTGTAAATCCTTCCAGTCTGGTTTTACTCATTAATCACTTTTTAAATTCTTTTTTATGCTTAGAGCAAGAACACTGTGCTTCTAAACAGTCCCTGAATATTTTGAAGGCCTTTAAATAGGTTTAAAAGTGCTATTGTAACATGAAAAATATATAGAAGTACTGAAGTTTGATTTTGTAATATATTTGTGTCCATTTCTAGGATGCATAGTAAATTTATTTATTTAATTGAATTTTTTTAGAGAAAGGGAAAAAGAAACATCAATGTGAGAAAGAAACATCCATTAGTTGCTCACCTGCCTCCCATACACACCCTGATGGGGAACAGAATTCACAGAGTGTGCCCTGACGGAATTGAACCCATAACCCTTCATTGTATGGGGTGGTGCTCAACCAACTGAGCCACACTGGCCAGGGCTAGGATGCATAGTAATTTTAAAGGCAGGCTTATCTGGAAGATTAGTAGGACAGAGAAATAGAGACCTATGTGAACCTGTGTCATATGATTTCAACTCTACTGTTCAGTCTGCACATTTTTGAGAATGACTAGTGCAAGCTGGTGTTTGTTCTTTTTTGCAGATAAATATGTTAACTACTAAAATATATACACATTGTCTACAGCTGTGTATACCTTTTGTAAGAAGGGGTAGAGGTAACAGTAGGAACATACTGCTATAGAGAAAATCATTTTTAAAAAGAACATTAAAAAAACCAACAAGCTGCTGACTGTGGCCACAGAGTCTGGGCTGGTGAAAAGCACAGCAGACAGGTAATTGGTGGAAAGACAAAGTGATAATAATGAGAACTCAAATATGGCTGAAGTGGGTTTTCAATTTTTCATTTGTTACCATAGAAAAATTTCTTATCACAGTTCCTACATCATCAATCTATTCAAAGCCCTGGATTCCCAGAGAATAAAACTGTGGCAAAATTGGAAATCTCATAATGCAGCCTTTCTGTGGCTGTTTTTTTTCTTTCTTTTCTTCTCTTTCCTAAAATATTACCCTTATTTTATAAAGACTCTTCCCAGCAAAGGCAGAGTTCACTGGGTTATTTAATTGCAGTTTAATAAACTAGCAAGTACTTGTTAACTGAGAAGAAATAGAAATAAATAGTAAACTCTGCTATGAAGCCATGCTATGAGGAGAGATGTTGGGGTTTAAGGAGTATTATCAAATGTTACCAAATGCTGTTCATAAATGTTCATCAGCTCTCCCAGCTCCAGCCCTGATGGAGGGAGGACTGATTCTCCTGTAGGTACTACTTTTGCCCTTGCATGTGGGTGAAGAGGAACAGAGTCTTGGCAAGTACCACCTGGTTTTGGACTGATACTGCTGGTGTGGCCCTTTTATGTGGTCACCTCTTTCCCCTTCCACTGTTTTGCCAGGCTGCCTGGGCTGGATCCAATGCCTCCCATGCACCAACCAACCCTGACTTAGGACTGGAAGTAAAAACTCCAAGGACAATGAGAGGCATGTGGAAATGACCCACCCAGTCAGTCTGATTCACACCCAAAGCCATTTCCTAAGGATACTGGTTGAGAAAGGGAAAGAGGTTTCCCAGAAGAATGTTCTGGGGCACTCAGCCCCTGCCCAGCCTCAGCACTGGGGTGTCTTCAGCACCATTCAACAGCAGGGTGCAGCAGCTGAGCCTTCTTTCTTCCCTGTGGCTCACTTGCTCCTTTCTCCTGGCAGGACACTCTGAGTCACCTACAGTGGCTTCCTTCCCCTGGCTGTTCTCAACCATTGAACTAACTCAACTGCTTGACAGTTGGCATGGTAATCTCATTTCCTTCCATTTATTCTAAAAATAAGACCTTCCCCACAGAAAGGTAAAATTAAATTTGAGCAAAGATGTCAATTTTAGTATGATCTAAAAACAAACAAAAATAATGGGAGCCCTAGCTGGTTTTGCTCAGTGGCTAGAGTGTTGGCCTGTGGACTGAAGAGTTCAGGGTTCAATTCTGGTGAAGGGTACATGCCCAGGTTGCTGGCTCAATCCCCACCCAATAGGAGGCGTGCAGAAGGCAGCTGATCAATGATTCTCTCTCATTATTGTTTCTCTCTCTCCCTCTCCCTTCTTTTCTGAAATCAATAAAAATATATTTTAAAAGATAAATGAATAAGTTATGGTAAACAATTTCGCATTTGACAAACACTCCCAGAAAGCCGTAATGTGAGGTTGGAAATTGAAAAAAGACATTCTTTCTACATAATGAATGTTGAATGAAAAATGCTAA